AGAGCCATATCTCAATTGTGGACTACTTCCCACTCGAAAGGAATGCAGCTGGAAAAAACATTTCTATCTGTCTAAATTTTAACTCACTTATTAATTCATACCTTAGCTATGCGAATGCTGATTTGTTGAACTGGCGGGGGAATGCAAATTGCCAGTGGCCCCCCACATGAGGAGGCGATCCAAAGGGCCGAAGGGAGTAGCCCGGAGTGGAGTGGAGCGACCCACAGCAGCGTTTGTCTTCCACTTTACAGATTGGAGTGGAAATTGTATATCGTACTCGTAGTTAGAATAAATAAATTTCCGTCGGCGGCCCGTACAGCAGTCAGTCGGCAGCTCAGCCACAACTTTTGCCCAGGTAGCCCAGCTAGCCCAGCCAGCCAGCCAGGTATTCCAGCGAACGGGTCTGGACGGACCTCCTCCATCTCCATCTTTAACTGCATCTCCAACTCCATCTCCCCGCCTTCCACGGCCTGCATATTTATGAGATTTATTTTATTTTATGCGATGTCGCTACCTGATACTGATACCCAACTCCAGCTTCATCTCCAGCTCCCCATGCACATTTATTAGATGACATATTTTATTCATTCTCAAAGGACGGGGCCAGGCGATTAGCCTTGTTTAGATAGCCAAATTGTTCCGGATGGGCTGGCTGCTGTTTCGTTTCCGCTGCTGGCTAAGCCGATTTATGGCCAAACATTTCCTTGGCCCATGTAATCTGTCAGCCGCGGGATGGACTCCATGTGGAGCGGGGCGAAATGGAGCCAATCAGCAGCAATAAGTTGACAAAATCAAAGTACTAGATTGCCGGCCCTGTGGGAATGGAAGAGCCCTTTCAGGTTTAACCCCTCCCCTTGGGAAAGCTCCTGCTCACAGGTTGCGTAATAAACTGGAAGTGGCTCAGATATCTGCGATCTTAGACTTTTACACACGGAGAAAAGCCGGCAGGACACTTTCCTTTATTATAAACATTAGAATGTTAAAAATTAAAAGAATTTTTGAAGCCTGTTGTGATAAAAATTTTGAGATTGGGAACCGCCTATGGTGAAAATAGGTTCCTAATGGAGCTTTACACTCCTGACTTAAAGTTGGTGTTTATAATAGGAAATATGGTGATTTATTATCATATGTGAAATTTAAAATTAAATTTAAAATTAAATTTTAATTGAAATTTTTCTTTGTGTTTCTTCTGGTCAAACGCTGCCGCCCGCTGTGTTGACATTGAAAAATGCCGACGCCAACGGCTCGGTCTCCGATTTCTGCTGCTGATGGCGGCCACATGTTCCTCCACACACGTCCAACACTTTATGACAATCATTTGAGTTAATTGCCAACAGCCAGGGTCTTGGCTAGACCACACGGGGCAGTGCAGGCGTGTGGCATAAATACGGCGTCTCATTTGGCCAAGCAACTCATCTGTTTAGCCTGGCTTGCAACATGTTGCATAGAGCTGGAGCCCGCACCTCCATGTCCTGGTGCATCTCTGGCCCATCTCTGCTCCACCTGCAGCCCCGCCCCCCGACCAGATCCATTCCCAACCCCCGCTTGGAGCACTGAGCTGGGCAGTAAAAGGCATTAGCGTCCGTGTCTGTCACCTTCGTCATGGTCACGCTAATCGAGCTAATCGGCTGCGCCAATAAACCGACAGGTTTATGGACCTGCAGACGCGGAAGCCATCTCCGGCCTCCTGCTCCTCCTCCTCCTGCTTTTGCTTCTACTCCTGCGTCCAGACGCATGCGCACTTGATTTAAAAGCAATTAAAATGCGAATCGATGTCGCAATTGATTTTTCGCCTGCAGCTTAAGTCGATTTGGCCACCACATGCTAAAAGCAGGTCAAATCCTACTTAAAGTAAGCTGAATCTACTTTCGCCAGACTGCAAATATCCATTTTATTAACACTTCGCTGAAATGCTCTTAGTTCTTTTACCTTGGAATTCTTTTATTTTGATAGTTTTAATTTACAATTTTGTTTACTTAATCCAAGTAAGGTAAATCTACTTTCACCAGCCTGCAAAGATCCATTTTATCAATACTTTGTTCAAATACTCTAACTACATTCCTGGGGTAAAAGAACTATTGCAATAGTTTTTAATTACAATTTTATTTAATTGAGTCCAATGCAGATAAATCTACTTTTGCCATATTGCAAGGATCCATTTTTATAAGCCAAGTGTTTTATTAATTTTCTTATACCAACGAAACGGCACTCTCAATTTTGACGCTTATTAAATTAAAAGGGACATAATTATAATGGAATTTGTAAGCGATTGTGCCAGTTATTTAAATTTCAAATTTATCGTTGCTAAGGAAAATAGTGTCCCTATGTTTTTGCTTTTATGTCTTAACTATTGTTGGTCCGTCCTAGACCTTTCTGATCATAGTTTCCTGCTCTTGCAGCTGTGGATGGGTCAACCAGGATGAGGCTGCTATGTTGCTGCCGGACCAGACGTACGCCGACTACGATGTGGGGCACCACCAGCTGCTGAGCTACCACAAGAGCAGGAGTCGCGGCCTGAAGTCCAAAATACAGCGATCCAAGAGCTCCGATGCCAGCAGCAGCAGCTACGAACGAACGGCGGACTTCTTCGAGAACATACCCGACTTTCTGGGGGATTCCCTACCTGCCTTCCTCTACAGTCCGCAGGAGCAGCAGGATGCGCGGCCCAGGAAGAGGGAGTCGCGTTCGGGACAGAAGCGGCTGGAGGATGAGGATAAGTTTCGTGCGGATGACCAGGAGGACCAGGAGAGCGAGAGCACCAGTCAGAGCGACAACTGCGAGGAGGAGGATGTCCTGCGGCTGTGCGAGGACTTCCTATGTCGCCATCGCATGCGACCCGACTTCTTCTGCCAGTATCACAAGGCAGTCAGGTATTAAATATTATAAATATTTAAATAATTTAAATATTTAAATGGTTATAAGGGCTTACAGTAATTGGTTTTTCTTATCAAAAAGATATAAATTCTTACTAACATTTGACAAAAAGTTTTTACAATTTTTTAATCTTTAATACAATCCTCAGTTGAATTAATGGTTTTAACACCCATGGATATTGATTAAATGGTAAAGGGATAGATATGAGAATGTTATGTTATATTGTGCAATAGGTACCAGACATTTCTGTAGTTTTATTAAATAAAGTAATATATTTATACCCTTGCAGAGGGTATTATAATTTTGGTCAAAAGTGTGCAACGCAGTGAAGGAGACATCTCCGACCCTATAAAGTATATATATTCTTGATCAGGATCACCTCCTGAGTTGATATAGCCATGTCCGTCTGTCCGTCTGTCTGTCCGTCTGTCTGTTTCTACGCAAACTAGTCTCTCAGTTTTAAAGATATCGAATTGAAACTTTGCACACACCCTTCTTTCCTTTGCACGCAGTATATATGTCGGAACGGCCGGGATCGGCCGACTATATCCTATAGCTGCCATATAACTGATTGATCGGAAATGCTATAACTTTGGTGTTTGCAAAGCTAGGATGCTGGGATTTCCTATGGGTTTTATATTTGGCCAATCAATCCGACCTACCAAATTTCATAAGGATCGGCCGACTATATCCTATAGCTGCCATATAACTGATTGATCGGAAATACCATAACTTTGGTGTTTGTTAAGTTAGGAAGCTGGGATTTCCTATGGGTTTTATATTTGGCCAATCAATCCGACCTACCAAATTTCATAAGGATCGGCCGACTATATCCTATAGCTGCCATATAACTGATTGATCGGAAATGCTATAACTTTGGTGTTTGCAAAGCTAGGATGCTGGGATTTCCTATGGGTTTTATATTTGGCCAATCAATCCGACCTACCAAATTTCATAAGGATCGGCCGACTATATCCTATAGCTGCCATATAACTGATTGATCGGAAATACCATAACTTTGGTGTTTGTTAAGTTAGGAAGCTGGGATTTCCTATGGGTTTTATATTTGGCCAATCAATCCGACCTACCAAATTTCATAAGGATCGGCCGACTATATCCTATAGCTGCCATATAACTGATTGATCGGAAATGCTATAACTTTGGTGTTTGCAAAGCTAGGATGCTGGGATTTCCTATGGGTTTTATATTTGGCCAATCAATCCGACCTACCAAATTTCATAAGGATCGGCCGACTATATCCTTTAGCTGCCATATAACTGATTGATCGGAAATGTCATAACTTTGGTGTTTGTTAAGTTAGGAGGTTGGGATTTCCTATGGGTTTTATTTTTGGCCAATCAATCCGACCTATCAAATTTCATAAGGATCGGCCGACTATATCCTATAGCTGCCATATAACTGAACGATTGGAAATGCCATAACTTTGGTGTTTTTAATGTTAGGAAGTTGGGATTTTTATGAGTGTTAAGAATGCATCATATGAATAATTTTGGAGAATATAGTTTACAGAGTATTCTGCAAGGGTATATCAACTTCGGCTCCGCCCGAAGTTAGCTTTCCTTTCTTGTTTTTTTTAATGTTTTTAAGGATCTATGCTCGTAGAATTGTTTTAATTATAAATATTTTTATTTCTTATGTTTAGTTCATCAACGCCCTCACCAAAGCAAAGGAAAACCTCAACTCCCGTTGTGGAGTGCAAGTCCCCGCAAGGAAAGGACAAAACGGAGGTGAAGGTCCTCAAGTCGCACAGGACAAACGCAGTCGTGGAGAGGTTTTCCAAGTTCTCTGCCATTTACACGCTGCCTGTGCCAAAAAGGAAGAAGTCGTGCAACAAAACTACTGGGAACATAACAGGTAAGATAAATTATTTAATGCGACCATTATTAAAAAGTATTTTTCCAAGTGTGGGCTTGGTATAAAAAATGGTTCTTTAGACTTGCAGTAACATCAGATTTGGCCACTCCCCTTTATTATCAGAAATGGATCAGTAATTAGGGGCAGCAGGTGATCTATTTAATCGGCAATAGACATGCCACACTAAATATCAATATATAAGAAGGAAAATTAAAGCCAGTGTTTCATTACAAATTCAACTCAGCTATAAACGTAAAAATGTTTTTCCGGCGGCTTCAAGGTTTTCTGATCCTGTCGACGCTCTCAGTGGTAATATAATCATAGTAAAAAATCAGTTTTCTATTAAGGTTACTTTTAATTTGCAGTGCTTGGGAAAGTCCTTAGAGGCCCGAGTACAATCGTTTAATACTATAGAAGGTGATGAAGAATCGCTATTCGTATATAATGTACGACTTATTGGAAGAGATCGAATGCTAAATGGAACATTCGTTTTCAAAGTTGATCTTGACGATACATTTGATGTTTCTTTTAACATTCTGGTGTTTAAGAACGGAGAATGGGAAGAAGGAAACATCAAGGTTTTCACCAAAGCCTGTAATTTTCACACGAACTACTTCGGTAAATATTTCTTACCAATGGTAAATGATTCGAATATACCGCCCGTCAATGAGTTGTGCCCATTCCGAAAGGGTAAATATTATGTGAAAAATATCCTTATTGAACCGAAGAATTGGCCAACAGTTTTATATCGAGGCTTAACAAAAAGCATTGTCAAATACATAAGGAATGGCAAATGTACTGGTGGAGTTGAGTATGATATGAGCTTAACAGACATAAATGATTAGCCCGCAAATTGGATATCATGGCTTCTAAGGAATATTGCAAATGAAATATCCCATTTTGAAAAACCTATAACAATTATCCTTTAAATATAATTGGAAATAAAAGTACCAAATAAAGTATTTGTATTCAGCTCTAAATAATAGTTGTTTAAATTTGATAATAAACAAGAAAGGAAAGCTAACTTCGGGCGGAGCCGAAGTTGATATACCCTTGCAGAATTCTCTATAATAATATTCTCCAAAATTATTCCTATGATGCATTCTTAATACTCATAAAAAATCCAAACTTCCTAACTTTAACAAGAGAGAACGCTATAGTCGGGTGCCCCGACTATCAGATACCCGTTACTCAGGTAAAGGGAGTGCGAGGGAGATGGAGATAGAAACTTTGATCACGCATAACTTTTTAACGAATGGTCCGATTTGAAAAATTTCTTCTACATTTCGATAGGTATTGATAAACACAATAAAACTGCATTTTTACTTTTCCGAAATATATATTATATCGTATATAAGCGATTGTGGGCGTTAAAGGGGGCGTGGCACCTTTTTGAAACAAACTTGCGCTGCGTAGGAACTCCTAGAATCTGCATGCAAAATGCCAATCTTCTAGCTTTTATAGTTTCCGAGATCTCAGCGTTCATACGGACGGACAGACAGACGGACAGACGGACAGACGGACATGGCTATATCGACTCGGCTAGTGACCCTGATCAAGAATATATATACTTTATAGGGTCGGAAACGCTTCCTTCTAGCTGTTACATACTTTTGCACGAATACAATATACCCTTTTACTCTACGAGTAACGGGTATAAAAACACCAAAGTTATGGCAGCTATAGGATATAGTCGGCCGATCCTTATGAAATTTGGTAGGTCGGATTGATTGGCCAAATATAAAACCTGTAGAAAATCTTAACTTTCTAACTTTACAAACACCAAAGTTATGGCATTTCCAATCGTTCAGTTATATGGCAGCTATAGGATATAGTCGGCCGATCCTTATGCAATTTGGTAGGTCGGATTGATTGGCCAAATATAAAACCCATAGAAAATCCCAACTTTCTAACTTTACAAACACCAAAGTTATGGCATTTCCGATCAATCAGTTATATGGCAGCTATAGGATATAGTCGGCCGATCCTTATGAAATTTGGTACGTCGGATTGATTGGCCAAATATAATACCCATAGAGAGTCCCAACTTCCTAACTTAACAAACAGCAGAGTTATGGCATTTCCGATCAATCAGTTATATGGCAGCTATAGGATATAGTCGGCCGATCCTTATGAAATTTGGTACGTCGGATTGATTAGCCAAATATAATACCCATAGAGAGTCCCAACTTCCTAACTTAACAAACACCAACGTTATGGCATTTCCGATCAATCAGTTATATGACAGCTATAGGATATAGTCGGCTGATCCCGGCCGTTCCGACATGTATACTGCGTTCAAAGGAAAGAAGGGTGTGTGCAAAGTTTCAATTCGATATATTTAAAACTGAGAGACTAGTTCGCGTAGAAACAGACAGACGGACAGACGGACATGGCTATATCAACTCAGGAGGGGATGCTGATCAAGAATATATATACTTTATAGGGTCGGAGATGTCTCCTTCACTGCGTTGCACACTTTTGACCAAAATTATAATACCCTCTGCAAGGGTATAATTAGAATCGAACGACTATAAGCACAGCTGAAATAACAAGGAAGGCTGGCCAGTTTAATACCTAAAATAGAATATAAAGAAGATTTATTTTTTCTACAAAATCGGATTTCTATCACATAATTTTGGCTAGTGTTAATTGTTAACTGTTATTGCTAAATAAGCAGTGGTATTTTGTAATGCATGTAAACTGCTTGCTTTCAGGGATGCCGTAAAGGCGAACCTGCTATATGACAGTCGATAGCACATGTAATCGACATCAGGCGCAAAGCAGTTTATAGTCCGAAAGCAGTAGAGCCGTTTATTTAAAAATTGAATTTTAAAAATATTTTTTTACGTTAAAGTCGCACACTATATATGTAAGCTCGAAAAGGTTGATTCTGCTTAAGAGGTAATGAGATAAGTAGTACTTTGCCGAAACAAAAAACAATTCAAGTAAACATACAAATATGTGGAAGCAATTTGCATTTTGGCGCTGTGGGAATTGCGAAATGCAGCAAAACAATAAACAATCGTCACTAATTAACACGCGACCAGCAAAACGAGAGGGACGGCGGGTGGCGGGCGGGGGTTCAAACACTTGACCCCATATTTGAACAACTGCACGCATCTCGCCACTCGGGATGCGGAGGTAGAGCCTTTTACCTGTTAGAAAAGTTACCTGCAGAGCGGGAGAGCACGGGGCACTCTGAGCAGAGAGTCGTGAAACGAGAAACGAGAGTTCCGAGATCTCGGAGCTACAGCCACGAACAATGCCCATCCGCCATCCCAGCAGAGGCGATCATTTTAGTCTGCGGCTGGAGTTTGAATCGCTCGCATCGAGTGCTCGCGTTTGCATTTCCCCCCTAACGATCTGATCTCGACCCGAACCAAGTGAAACGATCGCATACAATAACACCCAAAACCCAATTAAAGTCTATAATTAATCGGCGGAGAGGTCAGAGAGTTGAAAGTGCCACCAGCAAATCCGCGGCATCGCATCGAATCAATCAGTAAATCTGAAAAACGGCTCCAAAGCCGCGTTTGTGGTGGTGTACCTTCGAGGTATCTAAGCGCACATCTACACTGGGTCTCTGGTCTCTGGCTGCCTGTTGGACCTGGAGTTAAAGTTGGAAACTCGTTTTTCAAAACCAAAACGACGAACAAAAAAAGTCTGCACAAAACGAGAAAATAAGCGCGGCCGCGAAGAAAACAACAACAACAAAGGAAGGGGAGAAAAAAAAAGCACAATAATATAAGAAAAGCAAAAGCAGATCCAGAACTAAAGCCAAAACCAAAACCAAAACCAAAACCTGACGGATACCAACGAGGAGCCAGGCTCACTGTGATTTGGTTTGGTTTTTGGCCGCGTTCGTCGTTCGCCGTTCGCCCTTCTGCATTCTTTTCGCTTGTTTACTTATTTTCGTGTGCTTCACTTGTTGCAGCTGCACATACGTCCGCCCAAACATATATATTCCTCTCAATATATATATACGTATTTATATATGTGGGTACTCGTATATTCGGACACGGATTCGGGTTCGGTTTGTATGCCATAGATACGGTGCCTGTGCCTGAGCCTGGCCTGCAAACCTGTTCCTCCGGCCGTTTGCCAGTGTGTCGGTATCGGTGTGTAGTGTGTGCTGTGTGGTGTATGGTGTACGGTGTGGTGAGAGCCTGTATACGGAATTATTCAAATAAGAAAATCGTCGTCCACACAAATGTTCAACAACGATGGCCACATTGGGCCTGTCAAAAGTCTTCATACTGGATAAATATTTCACCGAATTGCAAAAATTTTGGGAGACGGAGAAGAAGCTGCAGGGTAAGTTAGACTTTGTCCCTGAGAAAAGATTAGTCACGGATACTCAGAGTTTGATATGTATGTAGCGGTGGGGAAAGATGGGAGGATCCTTAAAGTTACCATTGAATATTTCCAACATTAATTAAACTTCTTTAATAAAAAAAGAAAGTTGCTTTATTATATATTAAATGGAAATTAGGAGAAATAAAAAGGCTTCTAAGATACTACATACAAAAATCTGTAACATAGACTGTTATCACGGGTGTTTCAAGTTTGTTGCCTCAGTCTTTCGAATAGTTCACTTGAATTAGGCCAAGTCTTTGAGTTTATCATGTTTCTTAGTTTTACAGCAGGGTTTTTAGGAATCAATCAAATCTATTATTTAGAAATTTATTAGCATTAGCGATTATCCCAAGAGTTTTTCCTAATTCATTATATTGCATCATGCATGTCTGATTAATTAGAACAGATACAATAATACCGTAAAATATGCAATCCGTGTCCTTTTTTCTGGTAGTTCTACTTTAAAATTAGGTTCCAATCTGCACTTAAATTGTTTTAATTGTTCATATACTGCTTACTATAATTGTAACAATTTAATTATTTAGTTTACAACTGTGCATATTAACACTCTTTTAAAATTAACAGCTTATTATCCGCTATGTCCAATTAAGTTTTACCTACTTATGAATAACAAAGTACAAGCCCGTAAGAAATGTAAGCTAGAAATTATCATGATTTGTTTTCACTGCGCTTCATGGTCAAGCTATTTGTTGTAGTTTTTTGTGGACTTTCTGTCCAAAGTGTCAGTTGATTGGTTCTTGATTCTTGTCATTGCCATCTTGGGCTGCTTGTTTGTGATTTTAAGTCAGCCTCCATGAGTATTCGCAGTCGATCGCGTTCATATTCATAATCATCGGCAATAACTACAAACCGAATCCGCTTATATGGACACCTGGCTGTATGGGTGTCGCTTGCCTCTCGACTTGCAACATTTCATTTGTGCGACGCGACTGTTCCCCCACTCCGCCCTTCTCCCCAAAGACAGATAACTTGTGCTCGACGACCAGTTTGGGCAACTTTGCTACTCAGCTTCCAAGAAATTTTCTCGCCAGCTTCAACTTTTTTAACATGCAAAAACCAGCATTTAAAAGCCAAAAAAACATCGAAGAAAAGCCCATACAAATAAAAACTAATCACTCAAAAATATTCCAAAATTTTTTTAATGGTGCTTTTGATTGTGGAGTTATCGCCAATTAATTGGTTTGTTAAGCACAACTCGTTTACTCCAGAAACCTAATAAAAGCCTGATTTGTCGGTCACTAAATTGGAAAAGGTCTAATCATCATACGAGCCCAAAAAAGACTCAAAATTGTTTGCAAGACTTCGATGGAAGGCTTTTCTGTACCTTTTTCTGTGGCTATTGTCTTATGCAGTGCAGCTTTGGGCACCAGAAAGCAACAAAAAAACCGTCTCCAAAACTGGTTTCCTCTGCCAGAGTTAAAGTCATCAATGATATTGTTTTTTTGTACTTTGTCTACTATGATTTTGTTGTTTGCCCAGCTCTGTTTTGGTTTAAAGATTTGTACCTTGGCGGAAGGTATACCTTGGCTGGTACTACTCTTCTTCCAAGTTTTCCTCGTTTTTCATTAACTAATTAGTTAGATTTCTAGCTCGGACTGTAACATTTGGTAGACTGGTTTCTCGAAGCATTGGCTTCATACAATTTCGTTAGTTTGCCAGCGTTTTCGGGGTGTTGGGTTGTAACAATGACCTCTCGGCCCTGTTTTGAAAGTCTTCATAAATCAGTAAGCATTAAAAGCTGTTCGTCGAGTCTTTTCATTGATCTTCTGTTCTACATGTACACAAGTCTTTGAAATTTTGTTTCCACCTGCCGCCAATTTTTTGTTTCATCTTTGCGCTTTCGGTGTCTCTATTTTTCTCCTATTTCGGCGAAATTGGTTCATTAACATTTTATGTAAATGTTTGCCATCCATATCTATTAAAATTACTTTTGATGCTCCATCGGCACAAGCCTATCCGAGCGCTTTGTGTGCATAAATGCGTGTTAGCCTAGGAGAAATTAATCGGTGTGAATTGAATTACGTTGAATTAAGTTGTTAATTAGAACTAAACAAATTCCTTTTCACCAAGATGAAGATTTTTTAACAGAGAGCTTAAGTTTGAAGAATTTACAACATTAAAAGCATGATTAAAAAATACCCAGAAACATATAATCACAGAAAGTGTATCTTAAGACAAAGTTTGTTTCATAAAGTTTAAAATGACATCTCAGCTAAAACCTAAAAATCAAAAACAAAATAAAAAATAATTGTAACCAAATAAGTTTGAGCCATATCTCCATGGCTGTGTATTGAAATATTAACTAAAAGAATGGAAACCATAAAATCTTAATTAATACTAATTCATACAGTTTAAAGCTTCGTCGTTTAGCTCAAATATTTCTTACAAGTATTAGAATGCGTAGTTGTTAAGTCAAACACTGCTCCGTTAAGATTTTTTTATTGGGTCAAAAATATTTGCCGAGTTTAATTTACCAATTCTGCTGCATTTTTCTATACCGTTCCTTTCTTAAATTACTGTTTTCCAGATATTTGATATTTCGAAAATATTGCTTAGAAAATCAATGGTAAATATATTGTTAGAAACCTTAAAATAAAACTCACTTTAATTTAGACAACTACCATCACTGATACAGAGACTCTAAAATATAACTATTGGCACGCGGCGCTCAACGTCCTCGATAGTATAGTGGTTAGTATCCCCGCCTGTCACGCGGGAGACCGGGGTTCAATTCCCCGTCGGGGAGGCATGTATTAATTTTTTTTTTGTTTTTGAAATGATTTTTTAAGGCTTTAACGAATTATAAGCACCTTAAATTAAAAAAAAACCATAACATCATTTATTAAAGAGAAGAACATCATTTTGAAATCGCTGATAATAATCAAATGTAGGATCACTGTCGAAATTGTTTAAATATATTGATTTTTCCCGGCGAGATTTTTTTCTAATACGATATAAAGGCAGATCATTTTGGTCCGAAGTTAATTATTATTTAGTACAATAAATATGTTTAACAATCTCTTAAACTTTAAGGATGCACTCTAACAGCTATATTTGTGTTGAAATGAAGGCTTAGTTCAATTGTCTTTGGTTCTTTGTAATACGTTCCCCTAAGTCTAACCTGTCTAAACTTTAGTTACTTGACAGTCATTTCGTTAGCTTTGAATACTTACAATTTCACATTAAATACGGTCGCTTATTATACACTAAATAAAACCAATATGTTGGAAATGATTAACGAACCTATACCTGAGGTGGACATGAGAATAGTGGCCCGAAATGCAGAGGTTCAACGCCGAGGTATTCTGGGTTTTGCTCCGCGGATCGGATTAAGTATTGTGGACTACGACGATCTGGATAGGATTGACAGCTTCTATCTGCAGAGCCAAAAGTTTCGTGACTACTACCGTGATCCACACAACAGGCTGCACAAACCCCCGCGTTTCCAGCGGCACCAGGGAAAGTGCGGCATTAAGCTGGACCACAGTGTCGGTCATTTGACCCAGCCGATCCGATGGGTCGAGGAGCAGCGACCATTGGTCTACCCCCTTTCGAAGGACACAGCCACTAGGCTGGGCATGCCTATATCCCCCATGATCAGAGGACGCCACGACAAGTCGTCTTCCTTGTCCTACCTTCACTAGACCACGTGGTTTAGAAGCGTTCGCAGGCGAGCTGAGGTCCTTTGCGAGGACTCGAAGGACCCGAAGAACCCGAAAGCGTTCGCAGAGCACCTGAGCTTCTCTGCCAACGCTTCACCAAATTTTAAGGGGTCAACTAAATTATTCTGTACAAATTTGTCCACTTAAAATATATCTGTTGGAGTCCACATATAGTATTTTCTTTTACTTAAAGTGATAAAAATTTAATTTAAATATAGATGTGCTTAAAGTATATATGTGTCGGAGCAGGGATAGTTTGGTAGTGGAACCTAGTTTGTTTTACTGTTAGATTCGGAATGCGATTCTGACTATGGGATTTAGTCGTAGACGAATTGAAGAATTGACTGCATTTTAATGAAGAATAAAATATCTGAGGATGCTTCTACAATTCAATATTCTAAAAATTCTACCTTTTCCAGATGCATCTTCATCCAATGAGGCAGTTCATCTGCAGCAGCGGCTCAAGAGCCTGAGCACCGAGTTGGTTACTCTTCGAAATCGGCTGCATGTGGGCCAAGGACAGGGTCAGGGTCAGAACCAGAGCCAGGGAAATGGCTCCCAGTCCCACAGCTCCCCAGGAGGGGCCAACTCGGGTCCGAAGGCCAACAACTTTGACCTAAATGCGTCCAGCCCAAATCTCAACCTAAGTTCCAGCGGCGGAGGACTTTCCGCCAGCGCCGTGCAACAGCACACCAATGGACATCACACGGCATCGAAGGTTAGTTAACTAACTAAAACTTATCATAGTTATAAATATATTACTCGAAAAGATTTTAAAGATCATATTCCTGGTGTTTTATAAAGATCTTGCAATACTAAAGGCCTTAAACCAATTAAACTTAAAACTCGTAATTAAAGACATGAAATTATTTTTAATTTTTAATTTTATATGCATTTACAAATATTTTTATTTTAAATAACACTACAAGGTATCATATATTTATAATTTATAAATAACAATATTGAACATATAAACTTTTATTATTTAATATTAAATATCAACGCTTAATTACTGCATATTAAGATATAACCTTTTTTTACCTTTCGAACAGAATCATAACTTTAGCCAGACGCTGCCATCAAACTCGGGCTCAGGGGGAGGCGGTGCAGGAGGAGGAGGAGGAGGTGGAGCTGTGGTGTCGTCGAGGAACACCTCCATTCCACACCCACTTCCGCACCAGCTGGGCGAGAAGCCGGGCCTGTCGAACCACCAGACTGGCAGCGGACATGGCCAGTCCACTGGGACACTGCCGCACATGAGCAGCATGGGAAACATCCTGGGGCATGGTTCCCATTCTCATGCCCCGGCCAACACCAGCTCCAACACGCTGCCCATGCGCTCCTCCAACTCCGGACACCTGGGCACCAATGGAGGAGTCGGTGGCCACCATCTTAGCCACGCCCACAGCCAACAGTTGCCATTCATCCCACAGCCGAAGCATGCGAATCCCTGCCAGAGTGTGAAGACGCTGCCCTTCGGCTTCGGATTCGCCGGTGGCCAGCAGAAGCTGCCGCAGCCGACCCTCTCCCTGCCCAAGGACATGCAGGACCTCATCCACCTCTCCGGACCGCTCACCGAGCACGCCGTGATGCGGACGCTGCAGGCCCGCTTCAACGAGCAGCGGTACTTTGTGAGTATTAGCGGGATCCGCCTCTTCAAATCACTTCCATAGCCACCGAAGATCGGAAACCACCAGAAACCGGTCCCGGTGACGGGTCTCAAGCAATTATTGTGATAGTTTGTCATTAAAACCCAACTCCGTTTGCACTCAGCCCCAGATTAACTGCTAATTTCGACAATTACCCGTCGGCAGGCAAAGGAAGTCGATCTGGTCTAGTCGGGGGGAACATTGTAACCGGAGTTGCGGATGAGGTGTGAGCACTTATGCACATACCAGGTGGAACCAAGATCAAATCGGGTTTTGCACATTTGCTGGCAGTGTTTGCATTTGCTACAGACATTTTAAAATATAGTCTTGAAAATGCACTCAATAGGTTTATATTTAATTTAATTACATTAATTGATTGCCAAGTTATTAATTACACAATTATTTTGTTTTATTTGTATAATTCAATACTATAATTAAATTATCAGTTGCCAGTTTAAATAAAGCAAATGTTTATGTTACGCAATTGATGGTTAAGGCAGAATACGCCATTTCCTTCTAAATTATTTAGTAACTTCGTTGTTAAAAGTATTATTCACTTATTTTTTCCTGAAGTTTATTATTATGACCTCCAAAGCTTTTGACTCATCTGGCTAATTAATGTACTGTCATTTATCTTGCGCGTTGTTTCAGACGAATGTGGGTCCGATCTTGCTCTCCATCAATCCGTACCTGGATGTGGGCAACCCGCTGACCCTAACCTCCACCCGCGCCCTGCCCCTGGCCCCGCAGCTACAGAAGATCGTTCAGGAGGCAGTGCGTCAGCAGAGCGAGACGGGCTATCCGCAGGCCATTATCTTGTCCGGGACATCGGGAGCGGGCAAAACGGCCAATGCGATGCTGATGCTGCGCCAGCTCTTTGCCATTGCCGGCGGAGGACCGGAGACGGATGCCTTCAAGCACCTTGCCGCCGCCTTTACGGTCCTCAGATCCCTGGGCTCGGCAAAGACCACTACCAACTCGGAGTCGAGCCGCATCGGACAGTTCATCGAGGTGCAGGTTACGGATGGGGCTCTCTACCGCACCAAGATCCACTGTTACTTCCTAGACCAGACGCGCGTCATCCGGCCGCTGCCGAAAGAGAAGAACTACCACATCTTCTATCAACTGCTGGCGGGTCTCAGCCGGGAGGAACGGCAGAAGCTACATCTGGAGGGCTACTCGCCCGCCAATCTGCGCTATCTTCGTGGAGACACCGGCCAGAACGAGCAGGAGGATGCGGTGAGGTTCCAGGCGTGGAAGACCTGTCTCGGCATCCTGGGCATTCCCTTTCTGGATGTTGTCCGTGTCCTGGCCGCCGTTTTGCTGCTCGGAAATGTCCAGTTCATTGATGGTGGGGTGAGTAGCTGCTATAGATATAATAATATAGTAAGAAAACGAAAAATGTTCCATATTTTACATATATTGCTAAAAATAGCTACTGTAATTCTTACAAAAGAGCCATCTAGTGCTCATTTTACCGCTGTGCCGCCATCTGTCGGGCATTCTCCACTCTATATAAGTTTATTATTAGCCAGCAATTTCGCCGATGCTGATTTGGTGCTTTGGTTAGAGTGTTGGCTCTCGGATCCGTTCACGCGGGTTCGAATCACACTCGGGCCTTCGCCACATTTTCAATATTTCTTGCGCTGATGGTTTGTATTAATTTACAACAAGTGGTAATTTACGACTGAAAACCCATGTTTGACACTTGATGCTGAGTGAGAAATATTTTAACTAACTTTTATATTATTATTTTTAAAAGGGGTTGTTGCCCTTATCTTCTAATAATTCGATTATAGATTCTGTTAAATACTTACCTCTTTTTGTAATATCCTAATAATGTAAACCATTGCTAATTTGTATTTCAAGATTTATTATTTAAACTATGCTGCATTGCTATGCTTTAAGATATTTTAATAATTTCATATAATTAATGATTATTGTACTCCGCAGGGCCTCGAAGTAGACGTGAAGGGGGAGACGGAGCTGAACTCGGTGGCCAGTCTGCTGGGCGTTCCGCCGGCGGCCCTCTTCCGCGGACTGACCACCAGGACCCACAACGTGCGCGGCCAGCTGGTGAAGTCCGTGTGCGGCGATGGCGATGCCAACATGACGCGGGACTGCCTGGCGAAGGCGCTCTACTGCCGCACGGTGGCCACCATTGTGAGGCGGGCCAACAGCCTGAAGCGCCTGGGATCCACTCTGGGCACGCTCAGCTCGGACTCGAATGAGTCGGTGCACAACCAGGCGGATGCCGCCTCCCAGCACGCCTCTACAATTGGTGGCGGCAATGCGGGCTCCAAATCGATGGCGGCCCTCAACAATGCGGTGCGCCATGCCACCGATGGCTTCATCGGCATCCTGGACATGTTCGGGTTCGAGGAGCCCGCGCCACACGCCCACCTGGAGCACCTGTGCATTAACCTGTGCGCCGAGACCATGCAGCACTTCTACAACACGCACATCTTCAAGTCCTCGGTGGAGTCCTGTCGCGACGAGGGTATCGTGTGCGACACGGAAGTTGACTACGTAGACAATGTGCCCTGCATCGACCTGATATCCTCGCTGCGCACGGGTCTGCTCAGCATGCTGGACGCGGAGTGCTCGGTGCGGGGCACCGCGGAGAGCTATGTGGCCAAGCTCAAGGTGCAACACCGCTGCTCCACCCGCCTGGAGACGAAGCCCACCGCCGAGCCGCACGATCCGCGCATGTTCCTCATCCGCCACTTTGCCGGTCGGGTTGAGTACGACACCACCGACTTCCTGGACACCAATCGCGATGTGGTCCCAGACGATTTGGTGGCAGTGTTCTACAAACACACCTGCAACTTCGGCTTCGCCACCCATCTCTTTGGCTCCGAGCTGAAGGCCTTGTATGCCCAGCAGCAGGCGCCGCGCGGTCTCAGCTTCCGGATCTCGCCCACCTCGCACTCGGACCTGCTCAACGGGGACGAGCCGGTGTCCACCCTGACCCAGGACTTCCACACGCGCCTGGACAATCTGCTGCGGACACTGGTGCATGCCAGGCCGCACTTTGTGCGCTGCATCCGGAGCAATGGGAACGAGGCGGCCGGCAGCTTCGATCGGGCCACCGTGGTGCGCCAGATTCGATCGCTGCAGGTCCTGGAGACGGTCAATCTGATGGCCAGTGGGTTTCCGCATCGCATGCGCTTCAAGCAGTTCAACGCCCGCTACCGTATGTTGGCCCCCTTTCGCCTCCTGCGGCGCAGCGAGGACAAGGCTCTGGAGGATTGCCAGCTGATCCTGCAGTATGCCATGGAGCAGCCGCCGGTGCTGGATGGCTCCGTGACCCTGGCCTGGGCGCCCGGCAAGCGACACGCCTTCCTCAGCGAGGGCATCCGCCAGCACTTGGAGCATTTGCGGACGGAGATCCGCCACAAGAGCGCCACTTTAATGCAGGCCACCTGGCGGGGTTGGTGGTGGCGCAAGAAGGTGGGCAGTAGCGGCGCCAAGCGCTCCAGGGCCACAGGTCACCACCAGGGCCAGGTGGCAGTTGCTCCCCTTCCGGTTGCCAAGACGAACACGGTCCACCACTCCAGTGCGCAGAGCAAGGCAGCATCCTCCACGATGGCCGCTCTGGCAGCGGTGGCAGCTGCTGCCCCCAGTACAGGTGAGGATCCTGCTCGGATTTTTCCCGTGCCCAAACTAACCGCGAACTCCGCTTCCACAGTGCCACGCCTTTCGGCCAAGTCAACGAACCTGGGCATCGGCGGCACAGCGACCAGACCCAGACCGCAACCCATCGCTGGGACTCCTCCGCCGGATCCGCACGAGAAGTGCGACCAGAAGATCATACAGCAAACCTGTAGCCTGTTTGGACTGGATTTGGTAGGTGGCTTGCAATACAGAAGGACAATCATGAAAATTCAGAATAGCTTAATTATGCTTTAAATTGTTTAGGATTCTGTAGCCTTCCTAGGATTTTTGCAAATTTAAAGAGCAATAGCAAAAGGGCTTTAACTTTTGGTATTCCCAATCGCTTTTTTTTTACTTTTATTTTCCTAATGAAAATTTCATTTTATGAACTGCCAAACCTGAAAAACTGAAAAAACTAGCTTTGTCATTTTCATAGATGGCCAACAGAGCTTTAACTCGAAATATGTCTCTAGTTAAGAGTTTTCTGATAGATAAGCTCTAACAAAATATTGAAAAAGTATATTTGTTCAAAATGTCCAAACTCTAATTGGTAATTTAATAGAAGCTTTATAATAACGTTAAAGACCATTCGACCAATAGTTGTAAATGTCGAATAGAGATAGATCTTTGAAAAAACTTTAAATATATTCTAATCCATCAAAATGTATAATTTACAGGAACGTCCGCCGCCTGTACCCCCGTCCCGCTCGTACACAATTAGCGGCAACTCGAAGCTGGGCTATCCGCAGAGTCGGGTCATGAAGACGAACTTCCCGGAGGAGGGCCAGTCGGAGGCACTGCAGCTGAAGAAGGGCGAGGCGGTGACCGTGGTGAGTGCCTCCACCGGACGTGGTCACCTGCTGGTGGAGCACAAAGGCCAGAGCTTCCATGTGCCCTTTCAGTACATGGAGCTAATGACTTCGGAGTCCGCTGGCGGTACTAACCTGGTTCCGATTCCGGCTGGGCAGTCCAATGGTGTAAAAATTTGAATACGGAATATCCCCACTGCTCCAAGACTGTACATATTTAACTTGGTAGACTAAGAAACAACCATTATTTATAAGAAACGCATGCAAACTGAGGTGCTACAATTGGCCCCGGACTTACGTAGTATTATTAATGTCGTGTTTATATAAATAAACACCAATCAATAGGTTGTAGTTTCGCAAACATACCCACAAGTGCCAATCAAATAAGTTCTTCCATCTATTTTATAAGTACTTTACATGTTACTCATACCATTTTATTTGCGCGTTACTCTGAGTAATTAAGTTAAAAGCCAATACTCTGAGTACTTTAGTAAGATTCAAGCATACCATTCAAACTTATTATACCCTTGCAGAGGGTATTATAATTTTGGTCAAAAGTGTGCAACGCAGTGAAGGAGACATCTCCGACCCTATAAAGTATATATATTCTTGATCAGGATCACCTCCTGAGTTGATATAGCCATGTCCGTCTGTCCGTCTGTCCGTCTGTCCGTCTGTCCGTCTGTCCGTCTGTCCGTCTGTCTGTCCGTCTGTCTGTTTCTACGCGAACTAGTCTCTCAGTTTTAAAGATATCGAATTCAAACTTTGCACACACCCTTCTTTCCTTTGCACGCAGTATATAAGTCGGAACGGCCGGGATCGGCCGACTATATCCTATAGCTGCCATATAACTGATTGATCGGAAATGCCATAACTCTGCTGTTTGTTAAGTTAGGAAGTTGGGACCTTCTATAGGTTTTATATTTGGCCAATCAATCCGACGTACCAAATTTCATAAGGATCGGCCGACTATATCCTATAGCTGCTATATAACTGATTGATCGGAAATGCCATAACTTTGGTGTTTGTAAAGTTAGGAAGTTAGGATTTTCTATGGGTTTTATATTTGGCCAATCAATCCGACGTACCAAATTTCATAAGGATCGGAAGACTATATCCTATAGCTGCTATTTAACTGAACGATTGGAAATGCCATAACTTTGGTGTTTTTAAAGTTAGGAAGTTGGGATTTTTTATGAGTATTAAGAACGCATCATATGAATAATTTTGGAGAATATAATTTGCAGAATATTCTGCAAGGGTATTTCAACTTCGGCTCCGCCCGAAGTTAGCTTTCCTTTCTTGTTTTTTCACTAATTTAAGAATTGCGTATTTTCCTCGTCTAATGTTCATTATGTCATTCAAATAAACGAAGCATGCATTGAAACATTTAAAGTATATTGTTTTATTATGTTGGGTTCAAAAAGCTAGGGAAAAAATTGGCAAGGAGTGGAAACATATTGCTGAATATATTGTTATGCAGATAAAAATTTACTTACGTTTTAAAATTTTTGGACTTTAGGGGGAATGAAATTTCACTATTTAATAACCTCTGACTAAGAATTACATTCATAATTAGTAACATAATTTCAGTCAAATGTTTGGAAATATATTGATATATATTATAATGATTTTAAATAATTTCAGAACTAACTTTAAATAAATCGGATGAAATTTTTTTGGAAAATCAACATAGCCTCATTTTGTTTAAAACATATAAACTTCGGCTTGATGAAGCTGGCTCCCTCTCTTAGGTGCCATACGTACCTAATACCTACAACAGATTAAAACCTAATACCTACAAAAAATAGGAAGTTCAATACATGTAGTCGACTTGTGTTCGGCGTTCAGAAGAAAAATAAAGAGTGATAACGTATCTTTCGTCTTTATCATTATTGAGCCTGAGTGCAGCAACCTTTCTATATCTTCAAAGCCAAAATGGAAAGCAGTCATTTTGCTCCATGGCAGTTACCTTTTAGGAGTGGTTAGCTACGGGTACTTTTCTAATGAATCCGACATCGTGTTCCTGCAAACACAGAAATGTGAATCCCCCTAAAAACAAAAACTCGCTTTTTAACTGCTATTGTGAAGACAGTGAGAACGAGCAACTAAAAAATGAGATAACCCTTGTTAAAAAACAGTTGGATGAAGCCCACGACACTATTGCTGAAATGGAATTCGAATTAGAAAGCGTAAGTGTTAAAATAAAAGCACAAATTTTATAAATCAAACAAGTGTTAACGATTTGATTAGGTTGATGTACTGGCTCTACAAAATCAGTTGCTACGCGAAGAAATAATGAAGCTAAAATCTCAGGAGGAGGGTGTCATTTCCAGGGACGATGAGGAGGATCCAGTAACTCGAAAAAATCGTCGTAGTTATCGGCAGCAAGTATCAGCAGGAATCCTGGAGCCCCAACTTAAAAGTCCTACCGAAAAACAGCGATACGGTTTTATTCTGAATTGAACTTTATAATACTTAACTAATTTTATCTTTAAAATCTGAATTTATTTTACCATTTCAAAATGTAATTAACGCTTTAAACAATTCGAATCGAAAACGCTTATCATTATTGCCCTCCCTCATAAAAAAATATATTTCTGAATCACCTTACTATAAACGTTAAAATCTAGACAACAAAAAATTTGTTTGGCTATTGCACAATTTTATTTAATATTTAATTATTTTTTTGAGTTTATGGTTGGTTTTATCTATGTTTATTTTCTTTCGAGTTCTATTCTCACCAAATGAGTTTTCAACGTGTATCATTATTTGCACAAAATATTGGTTTCGCTTATGTGCCTACGATTAATTGTCTCTTATCGTATTTATTACCACATTTCCAGCTCAGAATTGAATGTGGTGGCATTTATGGTACCTCGAAGTCCACTTATCTGCCTAGGAAACACATTCCAATTCCATGCATAAATCAGCCGACTCTAATTCGCCTGTAAATAAATAAAATCAATTGCATTTGCAGCTCGGTCGCTCCTTTATTCGCTTGTCTGTTTGTGTAAGCGATTTGTATTGCATTTGCAGCTCCCAAATGGATACATTTTATGAGCTCTGGAAATTAGATGGATGATGCTCAACCACCTGGGTCAAGTGTGGGATTGTGTTTGGATGGAGGGAAAGATAAAAGCCCCATTTCTAAATTAAAGATGAAACCATTCAATGAAAAATAAAAAATATTGAATTGGTGTAAAATAAAAAGCTTGTTTAAACCTGCAACCCCATTCAAAGTCGTACAACGATGTGAAGTTTCTCAAAATGTAGACTTTTATTTGATCGTGTCCCGACTGACGATAAGTAATATGTTTGCAGCTTTTCCATAGACACAGTAATTATTAAATATATGCAAGTAGAATTCCGAAAGTGTATATATATTTATATATATTTGTATCGCATTACTTGTACGTGTGTTTTAGTAATTTATATTTACAATACTTAAAAGTCTGCGAGAGACTGTTCGGCTATTGTTGAAATAAACTTTCAGTTTCGTTGGGGTTTTGATGGCTTCGTTTGGGGGCCGAAAGTGTGTTTTTGTGTAGCTTTTATGTTTATGTAAGACATACCTAGTTAAAGATTTTTTGCGCGATTTTGCTTACACTTGAATATATATTTAAGATATTTATTTAAATTTCTTCCTTCTCTTCTCTTAAGTTTTCCTCATATTTTGTGGTTAAGACGAGTAATTAAAACTGAGTTCAATCTGAGATAGAGATTTGCATAAATAGTGTTCAACAGTTTCTTTCGGAGCAACAGATTAACGTTTTTATTTGGGTGTTCGCCATTGGTATATATAATTTCGATATCTGTTAATAGTTATTTCTCATAATAATGCAAAACAGTTGTAAAGAAACATACGGTGAGTACATGAAGATAGATCCGTAATAAATATATATGTACAATGAATAACAAACAATCCAACATAATGCAAATTAAAGCTCTAAATAGAGTCGAATGGGTCAAGTTTAAGTTGAGAAGTTGACACTCGTCCTTAACGTCCACAGGATACGCAGCCCGGCCTCGTCCTGCCGACTTAGACATCGGTCTCCGATCGCCGCCTTCGTCCTGGTCCACCTGCGAAGTTGGCCGCAGCCAGACCCATGCGATGTTTCGCCTCCTGGGTTCCCGAATATCCCCGTGCCAAGCCAAAGTCCACGGTTCGCTTGGAGCTGCGAAACGAGTACATTGAATCGGTATTATTACTAAGAAGTTCATAAAATCGAGTATGGGTTCCTCTAACTACATTGTACTGGGGAGGATTCCAGTTTACTTTTCATTACTTTCATTACACTTATTGTTAGTTAACATAAAGTTGGGCTTAATAATTTAATTGACGTATACAAAAAAAACTAAAAATCCTAAAAGAAAAACCATTGCTTAAAACTAATACTTTTTTAATTTGTATATACGTTTACGTTAACGCTTTATAATATAGTCACCAAATCTAGCCGGTCCCGACTTTTAAGAATAGAGACTAGATTGTTTTGACTTATACATATATAGTATGTTCTGCAAATAGTTGCTTTTTACCGAATCTTTGTGTGGCAAATCTTCCGAGAAATACAGGAAAAAGGATTAGCGAAAATAATCAATATAATTCCTGGAACAAGACTGTTTTTAATTTTTAAGCTGGGCTTTTTTAACTTTTACTCGGTTTATTAACAATTGTTCTAGAAACGTCGATTCGAAATAATTCGAAGTTTATTTTATTGAAACGTTAAATGTAAATGCAAACATTAATAGTGGTTTTGTCGAGCTAGACGCTCATAGTTACTTAAATTAAACACTATAAAAATCATATTTATTATTTCAGAACTTACTTCTCCAGATCGTTTCGTGCCCGAATGATGGTGCGTCCAAAGCGAGTCATCAGCTCCATCAGCAGGTCGTCGGGCACCTCCTCCAGCTCGTTATAGCCAGCTCCATATCCTCCGCCATTGGATTGGCTATTTTGGAATCAGCGGAATGGAAAATTAGAGTTTGGCCCGTTGTGTTTTCTTGTTGTATTTATACATTTGGGTACATTGGGTACAATGCGGCTAAACAGGATATCTAATTACTTTGGCTCTGTTAAATTTGACATTCGGCTGGCTTAAAATCTTCATTTGCATGGGAACCCAATTATTTGTTAATGCCTCAATGTTTTGGGGAATTTTCCATTCGAGCAATTGCTAATTAGTTGGCCAGGACCAATGAATTTTTAATAGTTCCTTCGACGAAGGGAAATTGAGTTTTGAATTCCCCGAAACGTTATCGTGGCAAGCCTTAGAATTTGCAACATATTTGTACTGCTCAAGTGTGTGTCCAATTTTGGCACATTTTGCTGTCAACGCTTACATTTTATTAATTAAAATTTTCCTTCGCCAGCAGGAAAGACTTTGAATGTGAATGAAAAAGACGCTGACACTCTAAAGTGTGAACACTCATGTGAGCGTTATCCCCCGAGAATATAAGTATATTTTCATCACCCACATGGCCAAGATTCGTTCTGAGCCAACATTGACTGGCACTGAGTGGGGTAATTGCTTTTGGGCAAATATTTTTATACCACATTTTTTGGTTTTCACAGCCAAAGTGCCGGAATTTAATTAGGTTATGTCTCTTTGTATATGTTCAACCAAATTGGAAATGATATGGTTGGATGTGGGTGTGGAATAGGCTACAACTACCTGGGCATTGGAGCTGCCTCGATGCTCGAGATGGCCAAGAGGCAGAAGAGCAGGAACGCCAAGGCGAAGCAAGCACATCGGTTTGTCATCATTGTGCGGCTGTCTCCTGAAAGAGTTAAATATTTACATTTTAGATTAAAGCGATTAAATAATAAATATTGAAGCAGACATTAAGCAAAGAACATTAATAACTTCCTATATTTATTCAATAGTTAGTTATGGATTATAATTAGACTTAAATATGAAACAAAATAAAATTATAATGAGAAAATATAATTTAAAACCAGTTAAACATCCCGACCATAAAAAGAATTTCACAAGGACCTTGTTCAGTTTATACAGTTATACTGTTCTTTAAATACTTTGTTACCGTATTTTATAATCAGTATAATCGCTTTTCATAAACTTTCTTCCCAGCCAAATTTTTCCAATTGTTTACATAAATATTCGACAAAGCCAAACGGCTTAGTGTTCTTGGGTCAACATCAATCAGACACAATTAAAAATCGATTGCGAGGGTTGAGTTGACACTCAGACCGGAAGTCGGGTGGCGTTGGCGACCAGGTTTTTCCATTAAGTGATTCATTAACTGCTCAACCAAGCAGTCCCAATCTGGGTTACCCTTCCTGTTTCCCGTTTTTCCCTGCTCGACTCCCGACTCCCCCATCCATTGACCGTCACCAACTCATTTGCGTTGGCTACCAGGACTACCAGCATGAGCAATATGACCTGTTTGTCCCCTTTCTCAGTTACCCCAGTTCTCGGAGGTAGTGCCTCGACTTTTTGCATTGCTCAACTGCACTTCCACTTCCTGTCATCGTACACGGATACCCCTCGTCCTTCGCCAGGTACTCCTAAATGGTGTTGTCACTGCTGTGTTTGCAGTTGCAAACTATAGTCCATAGTCCCGCACACTTCGCTGACATCACTGGCACCTGGGGACCATACCATCCCTGACATCTGTGGACAGCCCCCGATACCCCAGAGTCCTTTTGACACCCAGTGACACACACCATTGCCTGGGCAACAGGCTGGACAAATGAATTGGCTCTCCGAGCTGATGGTTCTGTCATTTCTGTCATTGCCTTCAAAACACACCATACACCAGCATGGAAGTGGGGTCCATCTCCCTTGGACCAGAGTCAACATTTGTCCCACTGCCAACTGAGGATTTGCGGACTACCGGATAACACAGTTGGATAACTGCCTCTGTTCCGATAAGTGTCAATAAATCACAGCTTCGAGATGGATGGAGTAGGAGAGCTAAGAAACCTATGTTCTAAAGCGATATGGTGATATATTAATACTATTCTCTAAGTACAGAGCTTCCTCTGATGGGGAAGTAAAAATCCACTGTATTGACACCAATCAAATGTCTAGATATCCGGACATTTTCACCAAGGACGTTTGCTGGACCTTGAATAAAATGTGGACCAACGCAACTTTAATTTTCTATGAAATATGTATTTCATTGCATAGTTTCCCATACTTCTTCTATATAAACATAAACCAACAGCAGTTAAAAGCAATAAAGAGTATGTATAAATGATTTAAATTATGTTATTTATAATTTAGTCTGATTTCTTAAGTTCACAGTTTATATGTTCACATTTATATATATTGTTCTTTTTTCGTTTCGTTTTTAAAATAATTTGAAAAATCAAGTTGATTTATGTAGCTCTCAGATAAAAATTGTAAATTCAGCTCAGCAGAAGGTTTTTAAAATAGACTCCATTTCAAAACAAATCGAAAACCCTTGAGAACTAACAACCCTATGAGTCGTTTATGTGAAATAAATAATAGCCCTGACTGTAATGAAAAGCCCTCAAGCAATTAAATCAGAATTGTAAACAAGCCCACTTGAAAAGTCTTATAAAGATAAGATTGTTACAACTCTGCAGCCTTGAGAAGGTGTCCCACTTCAGTGGTTCCCAGACATTTCAATGGCACATTCAAGGTACTCGTTGCTTTATTGATCACAGATCGAAGATCGTAACTTAGGCGACTGGGGCGAAGCCGATGCGGTTGTTGCCCAGATCGAACTCGGTGTAGTACTGGCCAATGAAGACGTCTCCCAGGATCCAGAAGTCGGTGCCCATGTACTGGAAGGCGGACATGCAGGTGCCCTCCGACTGGATGATGTAGGCCGCTGGAGTCAGAGTGAAGTCCGTGCCGCCGATGTTGAAGATGACATCGGGCAGGGAGCTAACGGAGGAGCAGTCCACATAGCCATCCTCGCCGACATTCAGGATCTCGGACAAGGTGACGTAGGCGTTGTAGGGAGCCACGATCAGGGAGGTGCCCGTATCGGCGATGGCCTGGCAGTCATCGCACAGCGAGTAGCCCTCGACGGATGAACCGGCCATGGCGAACTGCCAGTAGCCCTGCTCGGAGATGGGCACATAGGTCAGATCCCCGGAGTACAGGGACGCGTCGGAACCGCCGAAGATCAGCTCGCCACCCTGGCTGGAGGTGCCATCGCGGGCGAGGTAGAAGGAGAACACGGAGCTGTCAACCAGTCCCTGGGACACCATGTTGTAGAACACCGGAGCCACTCCGTCCACGGCCAGAGCCTCGTAGGCCATGCCCAGGATGCCGTCGAAGTTGGCGTCGTTGAAGTTGGTGCCCGGCTCGTTGGTGGACTCGGCAAAGGTCTGGCTGGCGACACTCAGGCCATTCACGTCGACGGTGTCGGTGGAGAGGTAGCCGGTGAGGCTGCCAGTTCCGTACTGGATGGAGAAGCTCTCCCCGTTGGCCACGTAGGTGGAGCTGTCGCTGGAATCGTACTGGCTGTGGGTCAGGCAGGCATCGCTCTTGCAGGTGTTTGAGGGCACCCACAGATTGGAGGAGCCGGAGTCGAAGAGCACCTTGAAGCTCTGGGCGGGAGTGCCGATCGAGATGGCACCGTAGTAGGCCATGTTCATCGAGTTGGACAGCTGCTCCTCGTCCACGCTGCGGAGGGAGGGCAGCTGGTACTTGGTGCGCAGGTAGGACCTCTCGGCCAGGACATTCTGGCGCGTCTTCACGAAGTTCTCCTCCTTGAGGATCGGCACGCGGTGCAGCTCGGCACTGGCCAGAGCCACCAGCAGGACTATCGCAGCAATGGACTTGATCATTCTCTTGGCTTGTTGTCTACTCAAGTTCGACTAACTGACGATCGCAGGGTCAGGTCTAATTTATAGCACTTGCCATCAATCACAGCCCAAATTGCCCGGCGATAAGATTTGTGGGCCACTGTGACGTTGCCGCCGACCACTCGAATCTTGGGAGGTATAAGTCCATAAGACCCTATCGATCGATAATTATAATCTGGCACATTATTATTTTAGGTGTATATCAGGCGATACTTTGGCTATCTATCTCCTAGATAACGCCGTTTCTCAAGAAGTGATTCCTCAAATCATCCGCGCAGCTGGCCTTTGTTTTGGTTTAACATTCGAGTGACTATCATTATGTAACCGAAGCGATAATAAAAAGTGTCTGCTCACAATAATTTGTTTATATTATCGTTTCACTAAGCCCACAGATAAGCCAAAAAAATAGATAACGCTAAGTAGTTTTTGGAATGGGAAATAACCGAAAAATTGGGAAAATCATCATACAGCTTGGGAAAAAACCTCAACAACTCGATTGTTTACTTACTGTTAAGAACAAAAATACTTTTAAATATATATGCAATACTTAAATAATTTTAAGTTAGTTAAGGCTTATTTCACAATTAAAAATCTTAAAAAATTACAACAATTGGATAATGCAGATGAATTCAAGCGAAAGTCTTTTGATACGAGTTTTTAGTTAAAATTAATTTATTTTTGAATTCAATCAATTTAATCTTTAAAACAAAGGTATCAATTTACTTGAAAATATACACATGTGGCAATCTTAAGGGAATTATAAATATTTCCAAAGCGAATTGCTTTTCAATTGGTTAATTTGGAGAAACGTCGGAGTTTAATCGCCTTTGGCCACAAGGAAACACTTTCATTCCGGCTCAAATGGCCACCAGAAATTCCCTTCCAATTAAATGGTTACACTTGAGCTTTTTACTCAACGATTTGCCCGGTCGTATAAAAAAAATATTTCGTTTTGGCAGATAAAAGCAAATGCAGGTCCGGCAGTCATCTTCTCGCCATGGCTCCTTTTATTAAGCTTAAGTCCTTATTGAAATCAGATTTAAAATCAAATGAAATACCACTTCAATTGGCCAAGGAGGACAAAAGAGATTCATTTATTCGATTGCGTTTTACTGCCAGCGCAGGGATTGTTTGCCCAAGTGGGGTTGTGTGTAGTTATGTGGGTAGATGTGTGGTTGTGTGTGGTTCTGGGTGGTCAGCCACAGGTTAATTGTGGTGCAGGGCATCCGCTTATCGCCGAGGGCTAGTAACACCCGGATAGACAGCAGCGAAATGGAGGAGTCCACGGACGAGTGCGTTGCGCACTTTTGGCCCAAATAAAGTAATCAACGTATTTCACGCACCGTCGGGCAATTTTGGCTACCATTCGGACACTGGGCACACGGGGCGTATGATTACTGACGGTGGTCGCCTGTTTTTGTGGTGACATTTCACATGTGCAATTATTAGGCTGCTCAAATGCTCAACTGTGGTATATTCGATGCCACCCGTTTGTCCTGGCTGTTTATCAATCATTTTTGATTTATGGGCCAGCGCGAGTTGATTGTAGTCCGCAAATATACATAAATAAAGTATACGCCCGGGGTGGCTGGCCAACTAACCGAACAACTCAGCGAAGTGTAAGCCCACATGAATTTCGATTTATTTTTTATTTGCCCTGCATGGTCGGGCATGGCTTAAAGGCTTAGTCCGAGATGCAAATAATATTTAACCAAAAATAATCAGTAAATATTCACCATTGGTAAATATTATATAATATATAAGTGACGCACTGAGTAGGGAAGTGGACAAATAAACTGGTATCCCTTTCGGTCAGTGAGCATTCGCCTCCGGGTCACCAGCCTACACTCTCCGTGGGTGGAAGGCTCCATCATGCGACCTCTTTCCGCCGATTGCATTTTCACAGCTTGCTTGATCTCCGATGCACCCACTCGCACTTTATGAGCCCCGGAGTTAGTCAAGTGCCAGGCGATTAATCGAGTAAAATATTGAAGTTTGAAAGAAACACTTTGCCACGAACTTTGGTCTATAAACTTTTAAAAAGCACCGTGCTGCATTTTCAGTTATATTAAATATTTCATTTTTAATGTGCATTCAAGTGAATAATTGACGGAAAATAAATCAATATATTACTGTGCGAATTAAATCATTTCTACCAACAAAAATATTTTATTCCGTGGATTTATGGTTTTTCTTAATTGATTGTTTGTTAAATAAATCGTATTGCTTTAACAAAATTACTTCAAGCTTTTTCATTTTGTCTCCAAATATCTTCTGAAGACTTAAATCAAAAGTAACTACCTTTACCAAAAGCAGCTTACTGAATAAATTCATGCTCTGTTACCATAAATCTCAAAAATTGTTTTTAAAGCTTTAATCCGGATCTCGTTTAAACATAAATTTGTTAGCCTGTTATTATCTTGTTAGGCATTTTTTGTTCAAACAGCTTTTAACAGCCACCAAAATGAAGCCAACAAACAAACTACTCCACAATGAAGATGCTATCTCTTAACCAGCTAAATTCCCGAACATCAAAGGGATGTCCAGCAATCAGAATTTGACTGCATAATCCGGCATTAGGGAACCCGTCGAATATGAACCCATCTCCAAACGAAGTGGAACTTCCACGGACGCAACATTCAAAACCCATCAACTGGAATAGGCCAAACTGTTGTTGGGCCAGCTTGGCCATGGTCGAGGTCAACCCAAATCAAGTGTAGCGCCCAGTCAGCACAGGACTGGCATTTGTCTAACGAGATCCCTGACTCAGCTCCTCAACTGTCCTCGCCGGACTCTCACCTTGGCCAAGTGGCGGTGCTTAGCCAACTGGGCAGGGATGAAAAGGTGGTCGGGGGAGTGGGTGCAGCCGGGACAAAAGTGTAACACGAGAGTCAGACATTGAAATTGCATTGCGTTGATTATGGCCAACAACAAGACACACTCACACCCTGACCCCCGGATTTTGTGGGTCGCCCGGTGGCCCGCTGCGTTGGTAACTGAAAACGTACTTATGACTGGAGGGCGGGGCAAACACAGGGGTGTGGTATCGGGGCACACGACTTGGCAAATTGAATTTGGGTCATTCAATCCCAATGCCAGGGCTAAGAATTCTAGACCACTTCCTCAGCATCAACAATCAAGAATGCTTCCACGTGCTTTAATGCTTATGCCCTGCAATGATTGACTTGGCGGGGTATATTGGCCTAGGAGATGTCTCATTCGCTACTATATGAATAAAATAATATTAAATTAGATAAATAATAACTTAATTAAATTATTGAAAGAGAAATAAATCTAGTAAGCCCTTAATATAAGGTGTAATTATTGTTCGTTATGAAAAATAGTTTGTAAAAAAATTTCTGGGTTGATAGTTATTAATTAATCCATAAAAAACTCTTTATAAAAGAAATAAGTTCGTTTTAAAATTCACATTTATATTCAAAACTTCTAATAATATAAAAAAATTTTAAATATAGTTTTTATCCCTATACAATAGAATAAAACCAAGGTCATCACCGCAAAAAAGGTAGTAAAAATAACTTTAAGAAATCCATAATATAATTAAAAACTCACAAAATTTAAACAACGAGATAAAACGGAATTGACCATTTTGAATGTCATTCTAAAACAAATGTTTTCTGTTTTGCCTTTAAATAAATAACCTTTACCATTATTTAATTAGTGTAACATTAATTCCATTATCGTTGACATTTGAAAATGAATAAATTCTACGTAATTTAGCAAAGCCAGGTAAGGGAAAGCAAAATAATTAAGGGACATTATTGCGACGACAGCCACTTTTAGTTGCATTAAATTTTCATATACCAAATGAAAATTGCGTATACGCATGGAAGGGGGTGGCTTCCGGGGAAACAGGAGGATAGGGGGATAAGAAAACCTCTCCTGCCGCGTTGTAATTGGATGCTTATTGAATTAGTGACAAAGTCGGCGGATTGGGTGGATTGGGCGGAGGATTCTGCGGTGTCCGTGCTCCTGGGATCCCACGAAGGTGGTGGCTTTTGGCTGGGAGGGCAGCCCCGCTGGGTTCCTAGCTGCCATTTTAGATATTCATCAAATTATTCCGTTTGTCAAATTAAGCAAACAAGACCCACACAGCCGGAGACAGAAGATTGATTTGGATTTGTGTTGGCAGACATTTGATTTGCCCTGATTCGAATGAGCGTGTCCTGCGTCCTTGCGGCTCGCTTTGTGTGCGGATGCGATGCCATCTTAACTGATTACTTGCAAAGCCACTAGGCATAAGTCGGCTAAATGTCCGCAAACAGGTGAGGTCCCTCTTCTTGGCCACCATTTCTCACCTTGGCCGGAAGTCTGGCTAATGGAAACTGCTAATACGCTTGCACTTAACTATCTAAGGACACAGTCAGAAATGAGTTTTCCCACCTACGACTTACAAACTTGAGTTCGCAACTTGGTAATGGGTATTATCCATTACTCAGAATCTGGAAAAGATCTGCGAGATATCAACAAGTCAGAAACCCTTGAACACTTGAAGTGTCCAATGCAATATCTGTTGGCAAACAGTTCATGCCAATCAATCAAGGCAATAATCTTTAACCGATTAGATCTGACATGACTTGAAATTAGTTAAGCTGGTTATGGCCACGCTTATAAACACTTTATAACAAGCGACGTCAGCACTTGATTCTCAACAATCACTCTTTAATATAAGTTATATTTATTAGTATTTAAAGAGTCGTCTTGTGAGGTGATAAAATTCGAAGAGGAATTAATGGTACTTCTTATAATTAAGTTAATAGCTGTCTAAATCGTAATTTTCCGCACCCATAATCAAATGTAGTTAGTAAATCTTAACAGGGTTCAAAGCACTGAGTGATAGTCTTTTTACGACTAATAAAATAATTATCCTACACACACACTGGGCTAAAAGGTCACGTCAGAAGCCACTAGTAATTATAATTGTTTAACCTATAATGGTTATGTACCATTAAAAAAAAAAACTCAAAGAAAACTTTCTTCAGTTCCTCATGGGA